CTAGGGGCGGGGAGCACACATACACACGTACACACGCACGCACACACAGAACATGCAAAGCAAGGGAGTGAAGCAGCCATACTACTGAGTCAACAATGGATGAAACCTTACGATACACGGACGCGTAGCTCATGTATTATGTTCCGTCGCATTTCATATTGCTAGACTACCTGGTTTCTGTGTGTGAGCCGACAATAGGCAGTTGTGCGATGACAGTCTGGTTCTTTTCATTACCTTCGTAATCTGTGTCCCGCTCACTTGGTTGCGGTTTCATTCATGTCTGTCATGCTAGTGTTAGTAGCCGCTGAACTAGTATCGTACGCTGCACATATCTAGAGTGCAAGAGTTCATAGTGCGTACGGGATGTTTCCATGCCTGCTGCTTTGGCTTCCTTTGTTTCGCTGCTTTTCAGGATATGTTCTGTGCATAAATTAGCTGGTTTTAGTTGATAGTGCTTTAGTGTGTGCGTAAGGATTTGTAGAGAACAGGAGCTGTTGTTGTATCGTCTTGCAAGAACGTTGTAAGACAGATCAAGCCCCACAGTTTGTGTGATGATTCGAGTGTATGAGTACTCGAGTGCATGAATATACAGTCTTCGAAGGGTTCGTGTGCGTGTGAGTAGAAAATACGAACATATCTGGTCCTTCGAGCCGGATTGTGGCATGGCGTCGGATCCTGGTATGCGTAGGAGCAGCCGTTCCACGATAGGAGTACCTCCTCAGCGATGGGGTTTCGAGACCGAAGCTGTCGAAGGTAATCGTGACCAGCAAGGAGCAGTGCCGACGTCCGGCAATGGAAGTCGAGCTGTGAGTGCTCGATCGCGGACATCATCAGCCCAGCACAGTGGTAGCTCGCGACGAGCAGTGTTGGAAGCTGAGATTCGAGTCGCAAAGGCGCAGTTGGAACTGCGAGAATCTGAATTGGCAGCGGAAACTCTTGTAAGGACAAGTAGTGTTCGTTCGCCAGGCTCCGGGACAGGGAGGTCCCCGTCTCTCGGGATGCAACAACAAGTGTTTGCGGAGGCCGCAGAAGTGCTTGATGCAGGCGAGGAGGCACCACAAGGAGAGCCACACGACAACTCTCAACCGGACGCAGTAGTCGTCGGACTGGTTGCAGGAGATGTCGGGGACGTAGCAGGACACGTCCAGGAGATAGAGTCGGACGCCGAAAGTCACCTCCGACGCGAGTTCCAGCTGAAGGAACTCAGGTACCAGCAGGAAATCGGCTACCTCGGCGAGCAGTTGAACGAGTGCCGAAAGGAGTCGAGAAGGGTGAAAGACCGTGCTCAATCGATCGTCCAGAAGCTGGAGGTCGCCGAAAGCAAGCTTAGGGTCGCACAGCGGGAGAATCGAGACATGTATTGTTGCAAACCAGCTACGAAAAGGAGATGAGCATGTACAGTGAGCTGGAGCAAGCACGGCACGAACTCGCGGAGATGGAGCGGCGCGTGCAGCATTCACACAGCAAGGTATGTGACGAGTCCACAGCTGTAGTTGCATCACGTGTGAATTCTCCTCAATCCGTGAATAGTACAGACAGTCGTGATGGTGCCAAGTGTGTAACGCACGGGCTGTCTGCCTGTCAGATGAGTGGCAGTCACAGTCGAGTGGTCAGAGATGAGGCCAGCAGTCAAGTGCCCGTGCCAGCCAGCAGTGACTCTAGTAATGATCGTAGCAGTACAGCTGGCAATGCTGACTCAGACCAGTGTACTGGCCAGGGCACCATAGGCATCCCAACATGGCAAACATGGCACAGGAGTTTATGGGTGCTTTGACAGCAGCACTACGGAGTAGTGGCAACAACACCACCACCAGCCACAGTACTACTCCTGACTCTGACACTGGCCTACACCAGCTAGCAGCCCGACACAGCTCCATCAACACCAAGCTGCCCACGTTCTCTGGGAGACCTGAGGAATGGCCAACGTTCATCAGCACATACAGGAGCAGCACCAAGCAGTGCGGATTCAGCAATGCCGAGAACGTTCAACGCCTGCAAGCGTGCCTGAAGGGCAAGGCACGGGATGCGGTACAGCTGATGCTCTCCGTGCCCGACAATGTGGAGCAGGCCGTGCAGACGCTCGAGCGACGGTTTGGCAGGCCGGAGCTCGTCGTCACTGAGCTGATCGAGCAAGCCAAATCACTCAAACCCGTGAGGGCAGACGACCCCGACAGCTTGATCGGACTGGCAACGGCCATCAACAACATCGTGCTGACAATGAAGCTGCTCAACAGCCAGGGCCACCTGACCAACCCTGCATTGCGCAACGAGTTGGTCACGAAGTTACCACCAGCTCAACGGATGCAATGGGGAGAGTATCTAAAGACGCAAGGGTTGACGACCGATCAGCTCGGACTCGACACGTTCTCGTCCTGGCTGGGAGAGCGAGCTGAGGCTGCAGCGCTGGTGGCGCCAGCCAAGAGCCTTGCACAACCAAAGACAACGTACAAGCCTCGCGGGCAGACAGCACTGCACGCCGCCAGCTCATCTGCAAACGAGGCCAGGCGAGACAAACCAGTTCGGTCCTGCCGGAATTGCAACGGCAGCCACTGCATCACCTGGTGCCGAAGCTTCAAGGCACTGCCAGTGAAACAGCGCCGGGAATTAGTATACGAATGGAAGCTATGCACCTGCTGCCTGAGGTCCGGGCACTGGAGGGCAGCGTGTCAGTCGGGAGGATGCGAACGTTGTCCAGCCAGGCACCACACTCTGCTCCACCAAGAGCGTACCCAGCGGACTAGTGGAGCACGAGGGGGCTCGACGACTGACGGAACGAGTGGAGCACGAGAGGGCTCGAACACTGACGGAACACAGCCCCAGGCAGCGACCAACCATCAAACCAGTGCATCGATGGGAGATCAGATTGCCTTCATGACTGTGCCAGTAGTGCTGGAGTATGAGGGTCGCCAACAGCGCGTCACCGCATTGCTGGACCCAGCCTCTACTACCAGCTTTCTGACGGATGACGCTGCGAGTCAGCTTGGCATAGTCGGCAAGCCCCAGTCGCTCCAGACAACTGTTCTGGGCGGTAAGACAGTGACAGGACAACACCAGTGTGTCGAGGTCACTATGAGAAGTGTGGATGGCAACTACAGTGCGGACCTCGAGGTGTGGACCCAGCCACAGATTACCACCCACACAGCACCGGTCAACTGGGACAAGATCAAATGCTGTTATGAGCACCTGAGAGATATTCCATTACCACCAACCAACACCCGCACTCCGGAGCTACTAGTAGGCCTGAATGTGCCGGGAGCACATACTACACTGGAAGAAGTCGTTGGCAATGATGGTGACCCAATCGCTCGTCGCCTACCATTGGGCTGGGTGTGCTTTGGACCAGTAGTGACGCCCTCACAGTGCTCGATGACCACAGCCGTCACGCCAGCAGATGACATGACACCACAGCAGCGATTGGACGCTATTGTGGAGAAGTTCTGGTTGTGGGACGATGTTGGGACTGTGACACAGTCTACCCTCACCCAGGCTGAAATCGAAGCCGACCGTCTGGTACGTGAGATGACTACGCACGATGGTACTCGGATCGTCACTGGCATCCCATGGACGAGTGACGGTGGTCGGCCGCAACTGACAAGCAACATCGCGACAGCCAAGAGCCGCTTATTCAACCTGGAGCGCTCGCTAGCTCGGCGCCCACCAGTATACGACCAGTACCGTCAGCTTGTAGCTCAACATCTAGAGAAGGGTTACATCACGAGGTGCGATGCCGACGTTCTCACCGAGCCAGACCAGTGGTTCCTGCCCCATTTTCCAATAGTGCGGCAGGACAAGGAGACAACGAAAGTGCGTATGGTCTTTGACGCTGCAGCCACCCACGGCGGCCAGTCACTGAATGACCATATGTATGCTGGGCCGAAACTACAGCAAGACCTGGTGGAGGTCCTGCTAGGATTCTGTCAGGAACCTGTTGCACTCGTCGGCGACATCGCTGAGATGTTCCTGCAAGTCGGCCTCAAACCCGCAGATAGGCGGTATGTGAGATTCTTGTGGCGAGAGTCCCCACAATCTACCATGGAAGCGTTTGAATTCAACCGATTGGTATTTGGCCTCAAGGCGTCGCCATATCTAGCCTGCCGTGCCGTCAAGGAGGTTGGAAGCAGATTTGGCTCTAACTACAGTGACATGGCTCGTAGTGCTATCGACCGGTCTCTGTACGTGGACGACCTGCTCAAGTCCTGTCCTACAACTGATAGCGCTATCACCACTCAGCGGGAAGTCCAGTCCCTCCTGCAACATGGTTCATTCCACCTGCGCAAATGGCGGAGCAACGACCGCCAAGTGCTGGAGGCTATACCCGAGGCTGACCGTGCTACAGATTCGCTACTGCATCTCAGTAGCAACGACAACCCGACCATCTCCAATCCAGTCAAGACACTCGGCGTAGCTTGGAATGCGAGAGATAATGTGTTCACCTTCGTTTACAAAGCAACATCACCGCAGCAACTCACGAAACGATCAGTGTTGTCCAAGATGGCTACCATCTATGATCCACGAGGTCAGCTGTCACCCTTCACTATCCGTGCACGGCTGATGTTCCAAGAGCTATGTACGCAGCAGAAGGATTGGGACGCCGCACTGTCTGATGAACAGAGCTCTAAGTGGCAGCGGTGGTTTGCGGAATTACCATTGCTGGCAGAGATCAAGGCAGATCGATGTTTCAAGGATGCACGTCGTCCTCCAGAGTCCGCGGCACTCTCAGTGCACGTCTTCACCGATGCGTCATCGCATGCAGTCGCTACAGCAGTATACGTGCGCTGCGAGTACCCTGATGGCTTCGTGAAAGTCACGCTCGCATTCGCCAAAGCCAAGACCGCGCCAATCAAGCCAACCACCATCCCGAAGCTCGAACTTCGTGGCGCAGCCCTGGGAGTACGTGTGAGTCAAGTCGTAGCTCGAGCGCTAGACATACCAGTAGAGAAGCATGTATACTGGACTGACTCAACCAACGTTCTGTACTGGCTGCGCAGCAACGCCAAGAA